TGGCACCAACAACCATGTTACATTCAAAGTCAATTAAATCACCTTTCTTTCCCATTCTAATGCTCGCTTTGAACTGCAGCAGATCGTTTTGACCATGTCTACATGCCTAAATGCATTGAGTTGATGCCATGTGATTGGCTGATTAGAAATTTGTATTAATGAGCAGCTGGACATGTGTACCTAATAAAGTGGTTGGTGAATATAATTGACCAATAGGAAATTGTAGATTATTTTAGATTGGATAATGTGGAAACCTTTAAGGTCAGATACAATTCTTGTGGTGGATGAATTGTCCGTGTACTATATTATGCACAATAACTAGTTATTGAAAGGTAATTCATTAGTATTAATATTATTTGTATTTGTATTGTTTTGGTGGTAGTAATTTAAACATGGATGAATGCATGGAGTTTTAAAAATTTTGTAGTCTATATGTATGTTTCTTATTATGTAAACTGCTGATGACATTTATTTCCAAGTGTATATATATATATATATATATATATATATATATATATATATATATATGGATGATTGGATTTCTACATGGATGAATGGATGGATGGATGGAGTTTTATAAACTATAGTCTATATCAGGGATGTCCATATTCTGTTCTGGAGAGCCGGTCTCCTTGAAATTTTAGCTCCAACCCTAATCAAGCTGATCAAGCTAATTCCTCCAAATTATATACATGGATGAATGGAGTTCTATTAATCTATAGTCTATAGGTATGTTTTTATTTTTTTTTAAATAGCTGATGGCATTTCTTCCAAATTTAAATAAAATTGTGGTATTCTTTCATAAAATAAAAATACATAAATAAAAATTACATACATGTCCTTGACATATATATATATATATATATATATATATATATTTTAGCTTTGCTTTAAAACTGTATAACTTCGGTCAAATGTTTTGGGTTTCCTTCCACAAGTTTCTCACATTAGTTTTAGGTAATTTTGGCCCATTCCTCCTGACAGAATTGGTTTAACTGAGTCAGATTTGTAGGCTGTCTTGCTTGCACAGGCTTTTTCAACTCTGCCCACAATTTTCTATAGGATTGAAGTCAGGGCTTTGTGATGGCCACTCTAAAACATTCACTCTGCTGTCCTTAAAGCACATTTTAACTAATTTGGCTGTATGCTTAGGGTCATGGTCTGTTTGGAAGACCCATTTGGCCAAGTTTTTAATTTCCTGGCTGATGTCTTGAGATGTTGCTTCAGTATTTCTACGTAATGTTCTTTCTTCATGATGCCATCTATGCTGTGTAGTGGACCAGTCCCTCCTGCAGCAAAACAGCCCCACAACATGATGCTGCCTCCCCCATACTTCACAGTTGGGATGGAGTTCCTAGGCTTGTAAGCTTTCCCCTTTGTCCTCCAACTGTACCACTGGTCATTATGGCCAAAAAGTTCAATCTTAGTTGCATCAGACCTGAGGACATGTGTCCAAAAACTATTCTTTTTCCCAGTTTAATTTAGCAAATTGTAATCTAGCTTTTTTGTTAATTCTGTCTTGTTGTTTTTCCAATGTTGTCACACGAGGAAGCAGCGTGTTTGAGGTTTACTTTAAATACTATTCTACAGTTGTGCCTCCAATCAACTCAAATGTTGTCAATTAGCCAATCAGAAACTTCCAAAACATTGACACCATCATCTGAGCTTTTTCAGAGGCATAATAACTTTATTGTATGTAAACTTAAGACTTTCAAGAAAAGTTATAACAATTTCTCAGAAAAGATCTTTCTCATTATTCTGCTATTAAGCAGAACAGAAACAAATTTGATAATCCCAACTTACCTAAAAGAGAAAAAGTTTAGTCATATTAACATCTGACTTTTTAAAAAAAAAATGTTTATGTGCCTTTCTATACAGTGTATGTGAACTTCTGGTTTCAACTGTACATGTTTATATTAAGATTAACACAATACCAGATTTTCTTTCACTGGTGTTCATCAGAAGAGGTTAAAAAAAATCAGTTTTTGGTAATTGGAAATTCACTTTGATCATTCTTCATTTTGTGAAAAAAGGTCTAAAATACAATATTCTCATTTAAAAATTGTGACAAATTTTATTAGACATTTTTAATTAAAAACATCACACAAAATGATGTCAGTTTGCACTGGTGCACATTTATTAATTAATAAATACTTTTTAAATAGTTTGTATTATTTTATATCTTTATATTATTTTATTTTATTACTTTCTAAAGCCCATGCATTTTTCTTTGGGTTCTTCTAACATCTCTTCAGACTTTTTAAACATAGTTTTTAAACTCTAGTATGCCCTTAAACACAAACCCACACAGCACAACTTTTTTTTGGCTCTTATTAGGCCTTTGAGCAGAAACTCACAGATGAACAGAGGAATCGAACTCTAGATACGTGGTGTTTCAGAGCAGCAGTTGGACGGCATGCTGGGATTGTCACTCGTCTCCTCATCTCTGTGATTTATACAGTGCAATAAGTGATGCAGAGAGGGGCTAACAGGGCAGTAGACAGCAGGGCATTAGCATAATGTGTGCAGCGGAGAAACGCTGGAAGACTGTTGCTGCTTTAAACGCTGCGTGCCACATTTAGATGAGCTCTGCCTGCAGATGTTCTCGCTCATTGGCATTGGGGATCTCTGACACTCAGGACTTAAAGGAAAACAGCATTATGCTCAGAGAAGTTCAGCTAACTGTGTGTTTTGGCTCATGTTTATGTGCACAGCAGCACTGGTTTACTAGACAATTTAGTGATTGTATAATTTGATCTAACGATTGAGAATTATATGTAAATTAATTTGATGGAGCTGAACTGAATCCATTGATAAACATTTATACAGATGAAGGCAAAATTATTAGCTCTCCTGTGATTTTTTTTTAATACTGTTTGTCAGAGAACACATTTTATACGCCTAATAGTTTTAATAACTAATTTCTAATAACAAATTTTGTGTGTCATGATGTCAGTACATAATCTTTTACTATATTTGCAGGATACTAGTAATCTGCCTAATGTCCAATTCCAAGAGACCGAGAGACTTAGGTTATTAAGTTAACTATAGGCAAGTCATTGGACAACAGTGGTTTTGAAAAAAAGGACAAATAATTTTGCCATTAACCGTATTATTTTAATTAATTAATTTATTTATTTATTTAATATGTCTTTAAATTTTTCAATTTATTCTATTTATTTATTTTTGTATTTATTTTTATCTATTTATTTATTTTTTTGTATTTATTTTTCTCGATTTAGTTATTTATTTATGTATGTATGTATGTATGTATTTATTTAATCTGTTTATTTTATTATCTATTTATTCATTTTATTTATTTATTTACTTATTTATGTATTTATTTATTCATGTAGGTATTTATTTAATCAATTTATTTTAATTACCTATTTATTTGTATTATTTATTTATTAATTTATGTAGTATTTATTTATGTAGGTGTTTATTTAATATATTTATTTTAATGATATATTTATTTGTAATATTTATTTTTCTATTTATTTGTTTTTCTTTCTTTAATATTCATTTTTATCTGTCTATCTATCTGATTATTTATCTATCTATTTATTTATTTATTTTTTAATAATTAATTTTTTAATCAGTGCTTGATTTTTTTTATCAAACATGCTGTATACTAATATAATGAAATAAATAAAAATGTTATTGAAATATATATTTATCTATTTTGACATATTTTCAAATTGTATAAATTTTTTGGCAAAGTTTTTAAACTCTTCATATGATCCTTTAAAAAATCATTATTATTCTATGGAATCAAATTATCAATCAATATGCTGATTAACATGGTGCTCAAGTAATGTTTGTTATAATCAATGTTTAACATTAATCCCCTCTATTGTTAAACACTGATTATGACAAACATCACTTGAGCACCATGTTAATAATTTGATTCCATTTTTTGCACTTATTTGATGAATAGAAAGGCCTAAAATAAAGAATGAAATGCAATCTTTATTATAAATGTCATTAACTGTCGCTTTTGATCATTTTAATGGATAATTTCTGAACAATAAAGCAAATAAAAATTAAGAATAATAATAATTGAACACTAGCGTAGATCTGCAGTGCAGATCTGCAGCCTCATTGATGTGATCCAAGTCCTACGGAGAGATGATACCAACCATAGTGGACTTCTAGAGGTCTCCATAATCCTGGACCAGGCCGTATTCTGAGCTGATGCTGTGGAGAACATGAGACTGATTCATGAAAGATCTCAGTGACAGATGGCACTCAGTGGCAGATCTCTGCTTTGATCCCGTGGGCCAGCCTGTACACCCACCAGTGACCTACTCATACCTGCAGATTCTCCACAATGGACATCCAGTGCTTACCAGCCCTTTGGAACCTAGACTGTAGCTCTGCACAAGACATTTGGCCAGAGGAGAAATGGTTGTGCCCAACTGAGCCTGGTTTCTCTCAAGGATTTTTTTCCCCTCACTTTTGTCAATTGGTGAAGTTTGTTCCCTGCCACTGGCTTACAGCGTTTGGATTTTCAGCAGCAAAAATTAAACCACACTGAACTAAACTAAACGGAACTCTGAAAACTGGACTGACACAGTTTTCATTTTACTAGAACTACTATGTTAAGCTGCTTTGACAATCTAATTTGCAAAAGCGCTATAGAAATAAAGATGAATTGAATTTTCATTTCATTCACAACACACCATCAATCCATTCAACATATTATAGCTCGGCTTTTCAGCAATTTAACTCATGAGGAGATTTTTGTTTATGCTCTTCTTTGCAAACGCTAAATATAATGCGCAGCTCAAGGTAAATTTGTCTCTAAAAAGCTGCTGAAATTGACCCTGAACCTCCACCATATAAACCATTATAATGACTAGCCATGCCTGAAGCAACACAACAAGGTCTACCATCAAGAAAAATAGCTTGGAGTTTGTAGATGAATAGTTTTTTTCTTTTTCTTTCTGTTGTGTCTTTGAAAGTGCTGATGGTCTGTCATGTGTCTTGTCCCGTAGAGATGTCCGTGAAGAGCTGAGGATAAAGAAGACAGTTGATGCCTGGATCAATACACTCAGCAAGGAGATTCAGGTGAGCTCAACTCAAGGGTTTAGCCTCTTTTTCTGCCTTCACATACAATCTGTTGTTCCTGCGCAATCTGTCACGGTTCTCTGTTCTCTGAAATGCTGTCTTAAAAGGGAATTATTTGAATAAACATTAGTGCTTTTTTGTGCTTGGAATTGAGCAAAGGTCTGCTATTATGCTGTCCAAGTGGTCAGGCTTATGCTTATTTACCTGGCGGACAATAAAACAGTTGCAAAATCTCGTAAATATGGAAGCTATTATTGTTTTTGGCCTCGGAATAATAATAATAAAACACTTTTGCAACTTTTTATCACACAATTTGCAGCTCTGGGAAAATAGTCAGATTTTTGAGATGAGAACAAGAAGAGTAATAATAGTGAGATTAAAAAGTTGCAGTTGCAGTTAAAATACAAGAAAAACTAAAGCAAAACAATACAGCATTTTGAATTCTATACATTTATTAGGGATGCTCAGATCATGATTTTTACAGCAGATACAGAGTACCGATTCCTCATCATGGTGATCAGCCGATACCAAGTACCGATTCTGATGCTTCAAGCTAATAATGCATTAAGCTCATTTTCACTTAAGGAATGATACTTAAAGGTACAGTAGGTGATCTGCCAAAATGGGTTATCACAAGGGCTTTCAAACTGTGGGGCGCCAGCACCACTAGGGGGCGTGAGACATTGAGGCATGCACTCGAGTCAATTATGATGACGAGTTTTATGTGTTAACTAGAGTGAATCTGATTACATCCAACAATCAGGCACCTGTAAAGTTAATGCGTTTGAAAACATATACAAATAAAAATGGACCCGGTGCTTCTTAAAATGAGTGATGGTGAATAAAAGTCAAACCCATGAACCGTCTGACAAAAAAAGTGGCCTTCTGAATCAAATCAGCAGGATGCCCTTCTGGATCTTTCACTGACTTTGAAGACACTACTGACTACGCTTACATGGACATCAGTAATCTAGTCATTTTCCTTAATAGACAATAATATAATTAGGGTGTTTACGTGAAGTGCTTTCATGTAAGAGTTTCCTGTAGTTTTGGGTGACTTTAACTGCAGTTCGACAGTTTCACGTTCACTCATGGACATTTCATTCATGCCCCCGTGACAAACTGGGGTATTAGACGCAGATAAGGAGTAAGGACTGGTGAAAGAGTGTTATGGAATTTAATACAGCACGCCGAATGGAAAGAAAAGTTGTGTCCTAAAAGGTTGAAAACTGCTGGGTTAGCATTATATCTTTAAAATACAGTCCTCCTACTGCCGTCCAAAGCCACACCTCCTGAAATACAAACGCGTGCGCCTTAAAGATGACAGCAGACAACCCACTAGTTCATGTCATCTGCCAGTTAAACATCTTGATAACACTTTATAATAACTACACACTATAAATCATTTATTAAGCATTAGCAAATAGTGACCTCATTATTTGTTAAGCATTAACTCTACATTAATAAATGTTACTAAGCAGTTTATAACTGCAGCTATATATGCTATATATGCTATATATGCTTATATATATTCTTGACTTTTAAGCACCTATATAATGTGTTTAATGATTGTATTTTCATACTTAGTTAATGATTAATTTTTCATTACTAAATTAAGTATCGAATTATTTACAAACCAGTTGTATTTAAGAGTAGTTGAGGGTTTTTAGGATCATTCAGAATAAGTTAGTAAATGATTAATAAACTATTGAAATCAACATTTATAATTCCTATTATTCAGGCATATATATATACTAATAGTTAATTAGTATGTTAATAAATGCTTTATTAACTCAACTTCATGCAGTTTTGTGACCTTATCTAAAGTGAGGACTATTCATGCTTTAAAAATCTCTTATAAATGACAAATAAAACTAATACTGCAATTCCTGTGTTATATCTAGCACGTTTACAGTTGTGTAGCAAGCAAAAATTGTCATAATGGTTTCACTCTCTCATGCGCATTGTCCTAAAGCGACTACTGTATGCTAGAGCTGCACAATTAATCGTAAAAAGATTGCGATCTCGATTCGCCCCACTAGACGATCTTAATCCAGCATTTCTACGATTCTGTCAATCATATTTTCAAGTTCAGGAGGGGAAAAAAAGGCGACTGCACGAGTCTTTTCATTGTTTCACACACGTCACTCAGTCACATGAACACCTCCAAATGATGTTGAATGAGTCACATACGGTGTTTTTAAGGTATAATTTACCTAAAAATGCCATTTTTGTCTTCATATAATGATGTTTTTGCGGCCGGGAAATCACACGTGACGTGAGCTGGTTGACCGTCAGCTGTTATCACAGAGAGGGCACGCGCGTGCTCTACTTAATGATAGACGCGCGCGTCTACTTTATGCCAAGTTCAGACTGCATGATTTTCAAAGTAATCGTGTCACAGATGTTTTCACACTGCTTGACTATCTGGGCTAGCGTTTCGTCGCTACTTTGTTTACACTGCAAGATTGATCTGTGACAAGGACTTTCACATTGCATGACTTTACTATAGGAAGAATCGCCGACAAGTTCGTCCAAACTACGTCTCACAGCCAAAAACACGTAGTATGTCTTTTGTTATTAACTACATAATGAGAAAGAAGCCTTTAATGGGGTAGAAAATGTCCATATTTGCTCACCTAGGTTTAAAGGGAATTAGCCATTTCTCCTTAACGTTGATAATAAACTAATTTATAATTATAATAAATATATTAATTAAAATTATAATAATTATAATAAACTAATAAAGTCAAACAGACACGGTTGCTCCTGAGTCCTGTCAAACCTGCACTAGTTTTCCTCCATTTCGTGGGTCCAAATAAACCGAAAAAGATCGCTTTTAACTTCTCCCCCAGCCTCCTGCTAGCCTGCAGCAGGTATACACACATGCACACGCAAGTGAATGCTGCTCTCTCATTGGCTGTGGGCGATCGCCAATGTTATTTTCAGTCAAAACTCAATTCACACGGTATGATTTGAATCGCCGACAGCTCCAGATATTTAGCATGCCAAATATCTCGCAGGCATCGGCGACTCATCGGCGATTCTCTCAGATCGCGTCTTTGATAGTTCATACTTTGTGATTGTCACTCACATGCACGAGCAGCGATTTGCCTGTGATTTCAGGCATTTGTCGGCGATTTCTCAAAACCTGTCGGCGAGCCAAAATCGGGGCTAAAATCACGCAGTCTGAACTAGGCATTAGTGAACAGAATCTGCATATGTTGCGAGTAACAGGTAATACAGTTGTAAATAATATTCAGTTTGTGGCACAGAGTGATCGTTTGGGAGCCGCGCGCGAAGTATGAACAAGCACTTAGCAGTCAGAATGACACCGGAAGTGTGCACTTCATTTAAATGATCATATCGCATTTTAGAGTTATGATTTTGACAAGCATGTGATATGTTTTTTCTTTCATAGCGAACACACAGTTGTGCATGAAAATAAATGTTTACAATGTCAGTATAACTACTCTAGCCTATATATTGTTGAATATAATCTGATAATGGCAAATGTCTGATTTTACCAGTAAATAAAATCGTCTAATATGACAGATTACAAGCATATATCTCAAACATAATAATTCAACATCAGAATTATTATAAGTAGAATAGAATTATTTATAGAAACCAGTAAACCTACACATAATATTAATATCGATGTTTTGCCATATGTTTGTTTTTACCATACCTTTATTGTACATCTTCAGAATCGTGAGAAAATCGTGATCTTTATTTTAAACAAAAAAATCGCGATTCTCAGTTTAGCCAGAATCCTGCAGCTCTACTGTATGCTTAGTGTTTGACCAGCAGCAGCGTGCAGGAGTTACACATATCACTAAGCCATTGCATGCTCTTTTAGACCGAATATTCAGAGTAAAGGTAAAAAATATATTGAGCGCGTCACAGGCTGTTCAAAAATGAATCAGTGTGAATATAAAACCAACTTCAGCTCAGTAAGGCAGGCTAGGCGGAATAGTGCTATTTACTGATAAAAATCTACATTTTGGATGCTGTAAAAGGACCTTGAAACTGAAAATAGTCACATTAAGCTTTCAATGTAAGATTTCAGTGACTGAACAACACTTCTGTGCATGTAACCCATTCATTAAACAACACAATCTACATCTGCTTTTCGTGACTAAAATAGTTTTAAAACATAACATGACATAAACATAAAACATGTCTACGAGAAATACTTCAGCCATGGTGTCATCCTTCCTCCAGCATGCAAAAGTAACTCCAATATTGATTCAAGATTTTAACAGGTTTTGATTCAGCATTTGTTTTTACCGCGATTGTGTCTCATGTGCACATGAATGCTACCTATGAAGGCTACTTATCTGAATTATGGAAATTGTCGGCCCGACAATATTTAATTGGATGAACATTTTTTAGTTTTATACCTTACCCAAAATATAAAAATACATAATTAATACAAAATATAAATAAACATAGTTTTCTTTAATCAGTACTATTGGAATGTGAAGAGACTTTCAATCAGCACAACAAAAAATGCTTGTGAACTCAAACAAATTGAGATCGGCCAGATCAACAAGTACAGATCGAGTCATGATTAATGTGATTATCGGCCGATACCGATCTCTGGCCAATAGATCGGAGAATCCCTAAGACCTATAAAAGTTTTTTTTTTTTTGAGATGAGAACAAGATGAGATTAAAAAGTTCCAGTTGAACTTAAAAAATGTTAATTTTGAACAATATAAACTTATAATTATAAATGATTTTAAAGATTAGATGTTTAAAAAAAAAAACACAAGAGCCAGTTTTGAGAATAAAAAGTTCCAGTTGTACTTTAAAACAAAACAAAACAAAAACAAAACATAATTTGATATAATTCTGAAAAAAAAAGGAAATTAAATATCTGAGAAGAAAAAGTTTAGAGATATAAACTCAGTTTTCCAAGATAAAGATAATTATACACAATGCAGCATGTAAATTCAGAAAAAGGTTCAAATTCTGATAAAAATAGGTCACACTGGTGTGATGATGAACTCTGAACTGAAAGCAAAACGGAAATCAAGTGTTGTAGTGCAACAGGATTGTTTTTTTTTTTTGTAAACCAACAATGATTTGTGTGTAAATCATTATTTGAAACAGTCATTCTTTAAATGACTTCAACAGTCATTTAAAACAGTAACAACATGGACAACAGTTTGGTAGAGGGGGAGTCTAAAGCAGGTCGCACACCAGAAGCGCCGCTCGGCGCCGCGACACGGCACGCACAAGACAGTTTAAAGTATCGCACACCAGACGCGCACATTCGAATGATATTTAGCATGAAACTAATCAGATGGCGCTCTGTGGCGCGGCTGAAAAATGAACTGCGTCCTGAGCCGTGGCCGGGCGCCGCCGACAGCCACCGACTTTCAGCGCCGGTGTGTGTATCCTGGTAGAAACCTATGTTTAGAATTCTAAAATGCCGTGCGGCGCTTCTGGTGTGCGACCTGCTTAAGGGTTAAATTGACCTTTTAAAAGTATTTTCTATAATATATTATTAATAAATAATAAATTAGTTTGGCTGGAATTAAAGCAATTTATTATTTTTTTTACACCAATTTTTTTGCTTAATATTATAACACTGTGTTCTAACAACACACGATGCAACAAGATTCCAGAAACAGTAGTATGGCAATAATGTCAGGTAAAATGGTGTTCAAACCCACATTACTAGCATTTAACACTAAATAAAGCACATAATCAGTATCTGAGGTGATCATTGTCACAGTAGTTTATGCTGTTGTTCTGTTGCGACAGGAAGGAAATAGAAACTGCTTCTAAAATAGACATTTTGCATGTTGCCGTCGCAGATGGTTAAGACAAAAACTCCTTTTAACACGGAAAAGTTTGCATGTTGCTGTGCCGTGTCGTGTGTTGTTAGGACTGGTGTTGATTTATTTATTTTTTTACTGCTGGGGAATTTTTTTTGACTACAGAACAAACTAATGACAAAATATCCAATGACCTTAGTTAACTTAATTAACCTAGTTAAGCCTTAAAACGTCACTTTATACTAGAATACTAGTATATATATTTTTTATGCTGAATACTAGTATCTTGAAAAATATCTAGTAAAATATTATGTACTGTCATCATGGCAAAGACAAAAGAAATGAGCTATTAAATCTATTATGTTTATAAATGTGTTTAGAAAAAAATATTCTCTCTGTTAAACAGAATTTTTGGGAAAAAATACAGGGGGCTAATAATTATGACTTTAACTGTATAAGCTACAGCAATGACTTCATAGGAATCCATGTTCTCTACATAAGCATAAGCAACTATTCAAGTCAAACATCAGCTTTTGTCAAATGCAAGTAAGTTTATACAGCGTACAGTGCATTGAAGGCATTGACAACCCTTCTCCTTGTCTTTGTCTTGTCTTTCTCTCTCAGGATGATCTGGCGAGGGAGAGCTCAGAGAGGATTGTGGATGCTGCGGTGAGCAGACGTGAAGCTGGTCAGAGAACAAGAGCTGAAGCCTCTGCGGCCGCAAAGAAAACCTCAGTCAGAGCTCAAGCAGGAAACACACGGGCACACACCAGACAACCCGCTCCGGCTGTCAGAAACAAACCTGCGGTGAAGCAGGAGGCGGTGAGCAGGATTATATGAGTATTATTTGATGTGTTCACACAACAGACAGCAGCTAAACTCCTCTGATAATGAAATATTAAAGCTTAATAAGCTGCTCACACTGACGAAATAGGCCTTTTTCTGTGTAAGACAAAAGAAGATATATATATATATATATATATATATATATATATATATATATATATATATATACACTTGCAGAAATCTGGAAAAACCTAAAGAGGGTGTACAGTACGTACAGAGTATGTTTTTGGTTTTTGGAAGTGCAAAATAATGTGTTGTTGAATCTATTTAATAGAAACTAAGACAGGTCACAAGTTTGTTTTTAATAATTTAACTTCTTATGACTTGGCAAAATGCTGCACAAGTTAATTTGAGGGACACCTATTACTTTTAGGGATCAAAAATGTTAGAGAATAACTCCATTTCCAGGTAGTCAGTGGGTGCTTTGAGCACAAAACCCCAGAAAGCAGTGCACGTCGGACAGTTTATCAATCATGTACCGCTGGATCGCGTCTCACTATAGTTGTTAAATGTGATATTTAGTTCATCTTGTCTCTATCTAACGGCTCTTCTGTCTGTTGACTCAATCAGGTAACATGTCACAGCGTCAGTACACTGCTTTAGTCTTTCGCTTTCATCGTTTCTAAAATAAAAATTTTGAAAGCAGGATTTCAAGGTGTACTTAGAAATTTTATCAAAACCTCAGATACTGTTGGTTGTGCACCTTTTTTACCAACCGAGTTTGTCGACGCCATTATACTGACACAGATCGCTCTACCTATTTATGCCAGAGTCCCGAGGAAAAAGTGATTGACAGGTGGTAATTTGTGTATAACTTATTTATTTATGATTTGGTCATGCGTAAAACAAAGACCATGCGGGTCAGGTAGTTAAAACGAAAGCTACAAATAAGGAATTTGTTATGAATGGATGAATTATACATAAATAATTTATTTATCGATGCCTATGACGATGGCATTGTTCATTGCGGTGTTTCACATTAGACATTGTACAATGCCAAATTAGTTGACATCGCCCAACTCTACCATACACTCTCAAGTTTACACACATACACTTCGGCCAATTTAGTTTATCCAATTTACCTACTGTATATTGCATGTCTTTGGACTGTATGGGAAACCAGAGCACCCGGAGGAAACCCTTGCCAACACGGTGAAAACATGCAAACTTCATACAGAAATGCTAACCACTGATCCTCCTAGCTTCTCACCAGAAATAAATTAGATCATTAAATTCACGTCTTAGATGTAAAATAATTATTTAAATATCTAATTCAGAATTACTTGAATGTCTTTCAGTTTTACAACAGACAAGGGTAAAATGTTTGCCCGAATAGGGCAAAAGTTTTAACCCTCCTGTTGCATTTGAAATGTTTTAAAAACATTTCCCAACTGCTTTTCAACAGAGAGAACATTTATTTAACACAATTCTAAACATAGTTCAATAGCTGATGTTTAATGATTCATTTCTTTTGTCTTTGCCATGATGACAGTAAGTAATATTTTACTAGATATTTTTCAAGATACTAGTATTCAGCTTAAAGTGACATTTAAAGACTTAACTAGGCTAATTAGGCAAGTCATTGGACAACAGTTGTTTTTTATATAGCCAATCGGAAAAAGGACGCTAAGACCCAATTCCAGTTCTAATTTTGTACCCCTTCCCTTTCCCCTTGAAACAATATGTGAAGGGGAAGAGATTAAAAATGTACTGCTAAGAAATAGGACAGCACTACAACACCCGCACACGTTATCATATGTCATCACAAGCTCTTACTTCATATGATATCGACGACAGCGATTGTTGTAGTTATTCCAGATGCATTTTGTTTAGTTTTTTTACATTTACATTTACATTTAGTCATTTAGCAGACGCTTTTATCCAAAGCGACTTCCAAATGGGGACAAGGAAGCAACTTACACAACTATAAGAGCAACAATGAATAAGTGCTATAGGCAAGTTTCAGGTCTGTAAAGTCTAAGAAGGAAAGCATTAGTAAATGTTTATTTTTAATTTTATTTATTTATTTATTTATTTTGAGTACAGTTAGTGGTATATCCAGAGAGGCAATTGCAGATTAGGAAGTGAAGATTTTTAATTTCAAGAAATCACAGAAGGCAACGATAACATTATCATAATGATATAATGTTGCAGTAAACTTGTAACTACTGTTCATTTACACCGTGATCATAAGAGGATCGTAAGGGGAAGAGCTAAAGAGTAGAATTGGGGTAGAATTGGAATTGGGCCTAAATGTTGACCTTAAAAGCAGCTTTTATCCCATCCAAATGAAAAGATCGAAGACTTTCTCCTGAAGATAAAGTATTATTGTAAATACGATGAGAATTTGGCTCCTTTAAACATCACTTATTATCACTTAACATCACAAACACAAATATTTGAAAAACAGTGCAACGTTTCAGAGGATGGCTTTAACTGTATCAGGATGAGGCTCAACTACTGCTTCAAAACTGCTGACAAAATTTGTAAAGCTGAAAGTTTGTTTTAGGATGCAGCAAATTCAGGCAGCAGTTTACGATTAACATTAAATGGCATCAGAGCTGCATAATTGGCTATTTGGCTGCAGTCCAAATCATATGTGTGTGTGCGCGTGTGTGTGTGTGTGTGTGTGTGTGTGTGTGTGTGTGTGTGTGAGTTTTACTGGAACCGATAATGAATCAGAGGATCTGCTAACCTGCTTGTTTGCAGTGTTTATTCCTGAATGTGTTGTTTACTTATCACCGTGACCTGACAAGCACACAACACTCCCAAAATGGCCCATCTGGATGTAAACACTGTAGCTCAATACTTCTCTCTGTGGCATTTTCCCCCCCTAAATGAGCCTCTGTGAGCCCCCATATGCTGGCCCCGACACTAATTTGCTAAAAATAAAGAGTGCGAAGATGAGAGGCAGGGCCCGTCTTCTTATCTGCGTTTGGCACAAGCTCGGTCCTGTTAATGACTGTCCATGCTGCCCTTCGTCTGCGCGGATGGTTCTTAGCCTAGCAACACATTTAATGGTTATCTGAAGGGTTTCTATGTGTGGAGGCCATTTAATTGCCGCTATCGTTAAAGGTGCAGTCAATGCAGACAACAGAGCACACAGTTCCAGGAGGCGGAGAGTTATTTAGCTGGAGACACTTCAGGGTTGCCAGGAGTTTCAGAGGAAACGCGATGAAATCCATATGGCTAGATTTATATTAGCAAAAGTTAACATTTTTGAACTTCTAAAACACATTCTGATCACTCTTACAGTGTAAAAAAATCAACCCAGGCTCATTCTGATTATGAACTTCTATACACATTTCTGGAAAACACCAAATATGTCCCAGGAGCTAGGCATTTTGCAGTTTTTGTTTTCGCGAATCCTTCAGAGACCGCTGTGCACGCTCAAATTTCTCTGTCAAGTGCCGTTCGCACCTGCTGTTCTCATGTAAATCCACCAGAGGCCGCTGTCGACTGACCGTCTGACCGACCAATAACAACCAACAGAGGGAGAGAGAAGGAAAAAACATTACCTGATGGATCATTGGTACAATTTCCGCAAGATGACCAGCTAATGTTTAGCTAAATTAATTTACGCCTCCTCCTGAAGTGTGCGATGCATTAAAACATTGTTTTTTCCAGCCGTGGCTGCGCTTCATTCTCGAAATGTATAGTTTGTCTAAAGCAGGGATACAGTCAGCCAGCACAATCTACTTTTATAGTCCCGTTCTACTTGTTATAGCACATAATTTGATTAACGTTGTTGCTTCAACTTGTCATCCACATTTCCTCCTGAGTTTCATGTAATTTTGGATGTCTCATTTTTTATTTGTCGACTTTAACTGCAGTTCAGCTGTTTCACTTTAATTCGGGAACATTTCGATGATGTTTTAAAGGAGTTTGATGTCGCATGTCATTTGGGAAAAATAAATTCGCATTTCACAATGCGTGTGTCTGTGGTCCTTCAATGACTCGGTAGGGGCAGAGAATAGTGTCAAACAGCTGTGTGTAAAGAATATGTGGTTGTAAATCCTTGTTGATAGGGTATATGCCGAAGCATGCTAATAGGACTTTTAATTTGCCAGTAACCTGGGTTAATCGTTTCCGGTGAAGTGTATGCCAATGCAAAATCTGCGAGTTTAAGGTCTGTTTTCTTTAAAAATCACCGATCTCCACTGGCTGTGTGATATCCAATATAAAGTGGGTCTCAGATTGTACAAGAAGCACTGCAGTAAATTACATTTACCCCCGTCATGTCTTTTTAATATGAGCATTTATTTTACCCCAGAATATTCAATGGAGCTTCTGCGCTAGCCTGCTGATTCTGACGGGCGCGTGCGAGCAAATGGCTTTTTGACTTGTTTTACGCTTGAGCAACTAAATGAAAGCCAAAGTCTGTTTAACTGATTGTATTTGAATTGCATTTTACAACATCGATGCTGTAAAAGGAAACTCCCAATAACAGGTCACCGGAAGTTTATCAGTATGAGAAACACACTAGCTTGGCATTTACCCCATTGCGGTGTTTACATGTCTGTACTGCACTTCAATAATACTACTAAAATCGACATACTCCACATGTCTTAATTTGTTTTCTGTTTTGTTCGATTATGACCTTAATCAGATTAAATTAATAAAAAATTTACATGATAGACTCTTAATCAGAATATTGTCTTAATCATATTAAAATCGGATTATTGGTTGGCCATGTAAACGTACTTATTGTATAATATGCCATGCCTGCTGGTTTGAAATCGAATACTTGGTTTGTTTATTGAATGTATGTTTCTCTTCCAGACTCAACCGGTTGTGCTGAAATCTCAGGATGATGAGGAGTATCTGGCAAGGCTGTATGGAAAAGCTCTTTATGATGGTCAGCGAAGAACACTTAAAAAAAGCCCCTATCTCCGATTCAACTCCCCCACACCCAAATCTAAACCACAGCGACCCAAAATAGTAGAAACTGTCAAAGGTGAGTTAAAGGTTTTAATTTATTGTATTTTATTTTACTTTGTGTTATTTTTTAATTTTTTAATTTTTGTTTGTGTTGTTTTGTTTTATTTTGTTTATTTATTTTATTTTATTTATTTATTATTTTGTAATTTAATTTGATAAATTTTTTGTTTTGATTTATTTTATTTTATTTTGTTTTATTTTTTTATTTAATTTTATTTTATTTTTCCATACCTTATTTTTCCAAAACCTTTTGGCAGTTTTAATCACTTTTTCAGGATTGTCCTGAATTCTATGCTTGCTGTTGACAACTGTTGTTAAGTGTCATTCGCTCAGTTATGTTTTATTAAATGCAAAGGTGACATTGTTTGAGATGTCTTTGTCATGACAAGTCAACATTATCAAGACAGCATGGGTTTTCATAAATCTGTCATGAACATAATTTTCATAAGGCCCTTAAAAATATAATTAACGGCATCATTAATATTTTTCTTGACCTCAATTACAGCGGTACAAATTAAGTTTTTCAGTAAAATGTCATTAAATCTTAATGACGCTGTTGTAAAATTATTTGAAAGTGTTGACAATTTTAGCACAATAATCATGTCACAATTATAATGGCCTCATGACAATCATGTTTATGCTTAATCTATGGCAAATTGTATTTTCCTGGTAATGTCAAATAAAAAGACGTAGGGTTGTGTTTGTATTATCTTAAAGGTTGTGGTGTATTATTTCGTCAAGTTGTCATACACTTTACAATAAGAATTATTCAAACTAATTATTTAAAATGAGCTGAATCAACACAATTCTTGATATTTTTTGCGACAACTTAATTGTGTTGTGTTTCCCAGTGATGGGTTGCGGCTGGAAGGGCATTCGCTGCGTAAAACATGTGCTGGATAAGTCAGCAGTTCATACCGCTGTGGCGACCCCAGATTAATAAAGGGACTAAGCCGAAAAGAAAATGAATGAATGAATAATTGTGATATGTTCAATCCACTTAAATTTGTAAATTGATTGAGTTGAACCCAGCATACATTGTAACAAACTGTGTCACTTTTTCATTTAAATGAGATGACAGAAATATCATCAGCTGTCATAAGCATGCATAAAACCTCATTTATGTTTGTGACGTGTCATAATAATAAAGGTTTCATGACAGTCCTATGAATACCCCAGGTAAAGTTTTAACAATGTTTTCGACAATGTTCTTCGAGTTTGTTTAGACCCTGTATATACTTTTTAACCCCTTTAGACTCTGCGTCCATTACAATGGACATCACATGACAACCCATTTTTTTTTTAAATTTGGAACATACAGTAATTCAGGTCTGAAGGGGTTAATATGTCGATTAGTTTGGTTTTAGCAACTTAAGGCTAAGTTAATTAACATTTTGATCCAGTTCTGACCTTCTCTTGCAGTTAAAAACCTAATGCCAGCTGTTACTGAAGACACACAGTAAAAAGTTAGCAATGGACAGTTTGTTTTTTGCTGACCTTTTTTTTTAATGTAAGAATTTTCCTTTTAGATTCAAAATGCATGGGAGGAGGGTATTTATTGAGGGTTTGCTTTAGTCCTTGTACTGTTATTCAGTGGCTCCAAAAAGTATGTTACCAGTAGATAACTCACACCTGATTTCAAGTTTTGTTTGTGAACACATTTTTGCTGCTCTTGGTCAATAGTGTTGATCGTTATGGAAATGAGCTTCTGCATTGATGTTCTTTAATTTTCACATTGTCAAAAAATCTCATGCAGAACTTTACACTCCCGTCTGCGGTTTTATGGGATCGCCCCTTTTTAGCAAATCCTCCCCCCTGTCTTAAAAACCAACTTGACAAGAATTGACATCATGGATCTTAATTGTCTTAGCATTTGATTATTATTTGTCTCTCTTTTTATTCTCTCATCTAGGGGTGAAGATGAAGTCATCTAAAACACAAACTAGCCAGTATGTGGGAGATGTTTCTGCCATGCAGCATTCAGTCTCTGAACCCCATTTCATATTCAGCCCTAGTGATCCTGATAAACAGCAGCAGCAGCCTGGGTCTCCAGTGCGAGGATACCTCATTCCCATGGCCATACCTTTAGGTAAACCACCATTACCACAACTAGAGATTGCATTTTTTACTAGGGCTGCTATAGCAATATCCTTATGTCACAATTCATTTAAATGCACTACACTGATCTCAATAGTTAATTATAAACTGAGGTCACAGCCAGCTCTAAATGGGTGGGACTTGAGCTCTGCGTGGGCTGTACAAACCTACTGGGGCTTTTGATTGATTTTTTTTAGGTGCAGTTTACACTGGTGCATTTTTATTTCTAAACTGCATCTCAGAATGAAAACACTCCACATTCAAGCTGTTAGTTTCGTCTGTTAGTTTTTAGGATATCTATAAGCTAGTATGCTCTAAAACAGTTTAGAAAATGAAAAACTGATACAAATGTCCAAAGCTTGCAGTTTGTGATTTCTGCCTAAATGGATAAATTTTTTCAAATCTTTTTCAAATCAAATCTTGACAAATGAAATGATCTCTAGTGTCTGACATGCCCCGCGCCCTTTACGGCACTTTTCATTTGATGTGCTTGAGCTCAACCACTCTCATTAGCATAGCTGTGATTAAAAACAAAACACTATTGGTTGTTTTTTTAAGGGGAGGAGCTACTCCACGTCCCACCCTCTCTTCATTTTGCATTTGAGATTAGAAACATTGAATCAAAAGTGCACATTTTAAAGCACTTCACAGGACCTTTAAAAAGCATTTTGTTTTGTTTTATGTGTAAAGATTTATTGTTTTTTTTTTTCAATAGTTTTGAGGACTTTGTTGTTTCTCTTTTTACTTTGTTAAAGAAAAAGTCATATGGCCCACACATAGACTGTAAAACAGGGGTCTCAAACTCGCAGCCCGCGGGCTATTTGCGGCCCTCAGTGCCATATTTTGTGGCCCGCGCCGACCGCTGTACACTGACAGAATCAGCGGAGCGGGAAGAGAGAGCGCTCCCCGCTCCGCTGATTCTATCCGTACACAGCGGTCACTGGCATTCCCCGCCCGCCGTGTAAACAAAGGGACGGGGATGCCGGTGACGTCACCACAAACCCCGCCCCTTTGTTAGACGCTGTGACGGGCGGGAAGTGTTAGGAGGGAACTCACGCCAGCCAGAACCAAGGTAAGCTGTTCCCGCCCCTGCCTGCCACTTAGCTACCTATCTGCAGCCTGCCACCTACCTAGCTACAGCCTGCATCTTGTATATATTATAGGTAGATACAGACTGGCACAGACTGATGTGACTGGAGTGGGGTGGGGTGGGGGTGTTTTATTTATACATATATACGCCTTTTTTTTAGGTGAGGGCAGGCACGTGCACACATAGGGCTCAACCTGTGCAGTGCACATGCCCTTTTTAGTCTTGGATAGAAAGTGCCCTTCCAAAATGATCAAAAGTGCCCCCACGACGCGGCACACCTTCGGTCCCGCCCTTCAGTAGGCGCGCGACAACACCGCTCTTGAGTACGCGCGCGACAACACAGCTGATCAGTACTCGCGCGATAACACCGCTCTTCAGTACGCGCGCATCCACTCTGCAGATCTGCACCTTCCAAAATGATCAAAAGTGCCCCCGCGACGCGGCACACCTACGGTCCCGCCCTTCAGTAGGCGCGCGACAACACCGCTCTTCAGTACTCTTCAGTATACGCTCCCATCCCCCCCCCTTAGGGTCTCAGCTGCTTCCGCTCTAAAGCCAAATGTGGTTCAGATTTGTGAGAAGAAGCGCTGTCAAGTCTCTGGCAGCAAGGAGTAGGCAAAAGATGCCATGTTCAGAAGAACTGTTCATAATCTTCACTCAATGTTCTGTTAATGTTCAGGACACTTCATGTTCAGAAGAAATAATTAAAACTGTTAATAATGACATTTGAGGACTTTTTTTTTGTGAAATCTCTTATGCGGCCCAGCCTCACCCAGACTTTGCCTCCTGCGGCCCCCAGATAAATTGAGTTTGAGACCCCTGCTGTAAAAGATACGGATGTACAGTATTATGGGTGACGTCACCCATAGGTTTCTGAAGAGTGCAAATGAAGCTACAAGTAGGCATGACCAGCCATCGGCATTTTGTTCACGCGTCATCTCCTTGGCGGGGGGTGACCAAACATGGGCAAAAAGGCGGAGTGTTAGCAGAGATACAGACGCCTGCTAACATTTTACTTAGACAGATTAATACTTCATTACCTGTGACTTGTTTGTGTTTTGACCACATGTGCTTGGTTGTACACTATATCAAAAAAGTGTTTAGACTTTTAAAAAACAGTGTTGTCATACACTGAGCCACTAAACATTGTTCTACTGGAGGAAAACGCAAATTACTCCCAGATACTTCAAATATAGTCTGTTAGTAAATGCACGGCTATTGATGAAATCCAGGCATAGCACTGTATGACAACGCTGCAGATGACTGTTCTAGAGCCTACAGCTAATCAGTCTATCAGATTCTAGAGTGCATTACAGATCTAAAGAAAAATATAAATGATCTTAAATAAAACAAATACATTTATAGAGATGGTATATAAGTATATAATTTCACTCACCTGGGAAATGGAGGCCACTTTAATGGTTTGTGAGCACAATTAAGTGCACACAGCATGCCATATCATCTGATAATTGTAGGAAATAATTCCAATAGGCAACTGACCGTGTAGCCCACATAAAACAAAACAAAAATACAATGAAAATGCCGAGTTCAGCAGCTAATCAGCCGGAATCAGCTGAGGTGACATGATGGGGACCAGCGAGACATAGCTGTCACTCAATTGGCCATGATGCAGACTTAAAATAAACGAAACAGATGAGTTATAAGAAAATACAACCCCCTCACAGGGTAACATCACCTATATGCAGGAAAACCATCTTTTGTACCAGGCCATAAACATCTTTTTTTCTGCTGTAAAGTTGGCCAACAGTGGGGTCATTAGAAATGTGCTCAATTATGGAGCCAGGCCTAGCTGAATTTCTATATAAAGTATATAAAGTAGTGCGTTCACACTGAAAACTCTATAAATAATGTACTTTAATTACCCGGATGATGCACTCATTCGACCGGTAAAATGAAGTGTGTAATTTTGGACACTTCACGCTCTCAACGACCACTTTACTTACGTAGCGCAAGTGGTGGAGCTATCCGGTTCACATATTGGGCAACTTTATTTATTTTTGATTGTGAAAGCGAAATTTTCCTGTGAGACTGATTATAGCGTCTTACAATGGAGAAATGCGGTAATGCTTACTGCAGGTATTATTTGGTACTTTGTTCATTTATTTCACTAAATTGGCAACCGTCAAACGTCATCAGGGAAACGGTTTGAATTTACGCTTAGTAAAAAAAATATTAGTGTTCCATTTGGGACAACACTACATACATATTCTGTTGTGTGTAAGTGCGTAAGTACATAGTGCATGAGTGTATAGGGTGCCATTTGGGACGCAGCTAAAGAATTGCAGTTTCAGTTACTTCTGTATTTGCTTCACGAGAGAGAGCGGGATGTTGCCACTTGGGCCCTCAGTCATATGGCCCACTCATAACTGTTTTAAGTAATCATGATTACGATATTTACCATAATATCTGTTTTTATGATTTTTCTGTAATCAAGCAGCACTACTTGAACTCCAGTTATGACTGTAGATTTATTTTTGTCGAAATTGTAGCCTCATGAGAATTTGCATTACAATGTTGTTTAGAAAGACAAGACATGACTGACCACATCATTTTAATTAATTTATTTTTAGTTCGATGTCCGTTAAACCTCCGTCCATCCTTAAACATAGACCTCCAACTCTGCATGAATGTCGGCGACAGCCTCCACATGCTGCAGTCATAAAAAGTCTCTCCTCCGGCTGGCTCGGAGCGCACGGCAGCATTAAAGAATGGACTTAATTAGACAGACATTTCAGCGGTGTGAGTTTAGCTCTTAATTACGGCTGCCTCTCCACTCGTTAAAAAGCCTTCCTATGCCGCTCTCGTTTAATCACTTCACTGTCAGGGACATTAATGTCTTTCTATTACGCTCTCATTTTCCCCGTTTCCAATCACTGCGAGCTCCGTCTCAGGTCCGACCTTGTGCGCTTGGAGGTAATTCTGTTTATTAGCCCGAACAGCCATATGTATGAAAACACCGTCGCGCTTTTACAAGGGCACTTTTTAGGGCAGTAATTGCAAATAGCCAATTGAAAACATTTTGAAAGCATTCATATCATGAGTTGATTAGTTTCTTTTACCCCCCTCCCCCCTTCCTTTTGAGGATTACGACCTCCTGGCGCCGAAACGTTCCATTAGTTTGCTAACCGCTGAATTGCTGTCGTTATTTTCTGCAATGGACTCAAGAGGTAATTAAAGGTATTGCATGAAGGAGGAAAATGGTGGTGACGAAGCACCTTTGCACCGCTAAAGCTGTTTACAGTATTCAAATAGTTCCCGAAATTGTGGTTTAGAGTATTAAGAATGAAATTAAGTGGCGGACAATGGCCTAGTAATGTTTGAAACGGCAGGTGGGTATTTTGTGGCCAGTATGCTGGACTGACCTCTGATCTGTGCTACGCTACAGTGAACAAAGGCTTGCTAATCACATCTGCAATGCAGTGGCCCTCATCGCTGTCCTACATGCTCAACTCCCTTCATAGTCGTATTGAAGTTTCTTTCACTACCTGATGCTCTGTATGGGAGGAACTGCAGATACAATAAAGTCCTAAAGATGTTAGTGTTCTGTTAGTACATTAATTTTTTTCAGTTTTTTAATTACGTTTAAGGTAACATAGTTTCTTGGTTCCTTAAACATTTATGTTACCTGGAGAAGAGCATCTCAGACCACTACAGTTGCTTACTATATCCTATATTATACTTAGTCGTACCAGGCAGATGATATCAGTAGACCCATTTCACCAGGTACTTAACGTATTGTATATGACGGCCTAATTGGTAATTGATTAATTAAAAAGCTTGGAAATTTATGCTGGTTTGTTTACAATTTATGTTGTTTTGTTAACAAGTTTAACAAGGTTTTATTTTTTTTATAAGTTTTTTTTTTATGTTTTGTTGTTGTT